CAAGGTCTTTGAGGGGGAAGTAGTTGCAGTGGTAACTAAAAACAAAAAGAAGTGTTGTCGTGTAGTTTATAGTTTAGATGATATTCAGATTATTCCTGTTACTTTTTTAATTGCAGATGCCATAATGGGAGATTTTCATTTCAGTTAGATAATTTCAAAATTTGTTGCTGTTTGCTTTTGTATATGGGTACATTAAAAAACATTTTGCTAATTTTTTCCTTTTCAGCATGCATTGTTCACATTTAATTTTAAAGTTACTGTTAATAATTTTTAGATTTTGTTAAGATTAGAATTGATTACTTTTTTTAATACTTTTCCCATTTGTATTCAGGTTATTTTGTTCACTTTTCATGCTTTTTATAGATTTCATTGTGTAAATACTTAAAAACAGTATGAACCTTTGTTTTTGTTGTTTAATTTTGAAGGGATATTTTTTTTAATACCTCCTTTATTCCATATTTCTGTTTCAGGCTCATATAACTTTTTATTCTAGTGTTTTTAATGCTGTTTGAATTAATTTAGAAAATTATAATTTGTAGACATGTATATAATGTATATGTATTTTTTTATCTTTTGTCTTGATAACTTTTTTAATACTTTTCAAACTTTTCTTTTTCAGACTGTTAACTTCTCTTTTAATCTTTTTATTAGTTACGGTACTGTTTGTATTTATTTAGAAAGTTATTTTGTGTAAATATTTAATGTAAGAACCATTTTGAATTTTACTTTTTTAAAATACTTTTCACATGTTTATTTTCAGGCTGTTATCTTTTCTTTTAATGGTTGTATTATTACTGTTTGCATTTCTTTATAAAATTATTTTGAGTAAATATATTTATGTAAGAATTTTCATTTCTTTTCAATACTTTTCAATTTTTTATTTTCAGGCTGTTGTCTTAACCTTAATCTAGTATTAATTACTGTTTGCATCAATTAAGAAAATTATTTTGTGTAAACACTTAAATATGTATGTACTATTGATTTGCTTCTCACTTTAATTTTTTTTTTGAACTATTCCATTTGTCTTTTTCAGGACGTTTATTTTCTTTAAAAAAAAGGTAACTATTAAATTTCATATTACAGTACAAGTATTAATTATAATTAAGACATTGATTAAATATTTGTTGGGTATCATTACTTTATAATTATATGTATGAACGTCTGACTTTTTATTTTGGAATACATTTTAAAAAATTAATCCCCCCCCCCCCCTCCTTTTTATTTTATTTTCAGAATATTTCAAATTCTTCATTTCATCATTTCATACAGATAAGTGTTCATATTATTAGTATTAGTTAAACATTTATTGTCTGTAATTTATTTACAAACTGACTTTGCAACATTTTTTTTTGTTACAGTGTAACTGTTTTGACTCAGTATTTGAATACTTTATTAATATTTCTATTTTTATATTTAGGTCGTTATATTTGAATAATTTATTAATAACAGTTCTATACTTCTTTTCAGGACGTATTAAGTAGAAGCACTGTTTTATCTCATGCAATTAGTTTATATTAATATTATGGTTTTATTTTATAAAAATAAAATTAAATTTTTCATTATTTTTCTTTTCAGGTATTTTTAAATCCCTTACAGAACATAAAATGCCTATAATCAAATTATAATTTTTATGTGATATTCTTATTACTTGAAAATGGAATAAACATGCAATTTTTTTTGTTTTTCATGTAAAGAAATAATAATTTTTCCAAAAAAAAAAGGGTTTCTTTTACCAATTTTTTTTCACTTTCTCTGCAAAAATATTTTTTCAAAATAAATGTATCTTCTATAATGTGCAACTTTTGTTTTCATTGTGTTTTACATTGCATTGAGAGTGTGTGCTGAAAATTTGGTACCCTTATCTTTAAAAATAAAAAAGTTATGGGTCAAAAAGTGGAAAAAATTGAAAAGTGGGTCACAAGTTTTTTGGGTCAAATATATAGCATAAAAAATTTGACAAAAAAAATCATAACTCCAGTTCTATAAAAGATAGAAAGATAAAGTTGGTGTTGTTATAAAGCTTATGGCTAGCCCTTTAAAATGATGTATCATTCATGGCAATCGGACAATATTTAAATTTTGTGTCAAAGTACCTATTATAAGGAACGTATTTTTAGCTCAACATCAGTTCAATGTAATTGTTCATTTGCTAAAAAGATGGCATTACCTTGCAGACATATTTTTTCAGTTCGAAGACATTTACAGCTTCCAGAATTTTGTTCAGAGTTAATTCCATGCCGTTTTAGCAAACATAGTGTTCCTAGAGTGGTTGCTTCTACTTCTAGTGGTTCAGTAACTTCTCAAATTGTATCTACTAGAAACAATAATTTTAAGACTTAAGAGGGTCGGTTTAATCATGCTAAAAGAATTTGTATGGGCTTGGCAAATTTTTTGGCGATGCAAGGAGAACAAGATTTTGATTTTCTTGAAACTACTATAAGTCTCTGGAAAAGTCCTGAAAATTTAGATGAAAATGAATCGGGGTCACAACTTGATGAAGGTGAACCACAAACAAGTTTCATTCAAAGTCAACTAATTGATTTTGTTGATATAAATGACATTCATTTTTCCCACGAGGAAACAGTTGCTGCAAATAATTTAGAAAAAATTGAAACTGAAAATAGTATTAATTCCTTTGGGAAGCTTAACTTTGACAGAGTTCGCCCAAAGGGGCGACCGAAGGTAAAGCAAAATTTTACCCTGAAAAGAAAAAGATAGCTGCCCCAACAATTGTTCACTACTTGTATAAAATAAAGATGTGAATGTTTGTAAATAAATGGCTGTCGCTATTCAAACCCGGGTCCAATAGACCTATGCTATTCGGATGTCATTTGTGGTAATTTATTTTAGTTAATGTTCCTTTAGTTAAACTGAAGAATTAAGTTTACAAACATATAGTCCATTCAATTATCTTTCATTTGATACCAAATTTTTTCTTACAACCTAACAATAATTTTTTGGGATGTGTTCATGATGTATGCATCAATGTTGTTTCAGTGTCTTTTTCAGCTTTTATATACTATAGCATTTTCATTATATTTTTTTCTGACATCAATTGATGAATCAGGAGGAATAGTTTTGGAACTACATAATTGAAACTTTGCATGCTTATTTATATTGAGATTCTTTACTTTATGATGGATTGTTTTTAAACAAATGTCTCATAGGAAAAGTTTTCAGAGAATGTTTGTATTTATGCATTTTATTTATTAGGTTCGTGTGTTAATTTTTTTTCCTATCTTTTCTGTCTTAGTTTTCTAATTGTTTTTTAAATCATGAAGGATATATGTACATGGTGTATGCATCCTATATCGTTCATGCAGCCTCTAATTTAAAAAAACACAATTTTATTTTATATATTTTTTTTTTTTCTCAATTTTGCACTTTCCGGATTTTTAAGGAACGCCAAATGAATCAGGAGAAAAAGTATTCTAGCTACAGCCTTCAAACATTGCATGCTTCTTTTCATTGATATTCTTTATGAAATTCAAGAGGTTTTTTTTTATATATATATATCCAACTAGAAAGTTTTATAACATTTTTACATTTGCTACCCCTGAAGAGTTCTCAAATATTTATGTGACCCCCACATACATGCCATTTGTAACAATTCCAATAACTGCTGTGTAATAATCTTCTTTAAACTTTTTGTCAATGTTATTCTTAATATGTATGCCAAGTTTCATTTACAATACAGTACAATAATTTACAATACAATGCAATACAAATTTGTTTTTAATCATTTTGCGTAAAGTCAAAATTGGTATTAAATGTTTAATTTTTTGCAATAAAAGTCACAACAATTTTTTTTTAAAATTAGTGGATTTTTGTCTTTCTGTTTGTGTATGGTTTGTATGTACTGTATTTTTTTCAATGGCTCTATTTATTTAGGTTATCAGTATTTTATTTTCAATGTGGCATGACTTAGTTGCCTTGAAACCAAACTCCCTTCACAGATCACATATATTTGCTCCCACTCAATCATTACGTCTGTACTTAAATGAAGAAATGATACAGTACAAACAATAGTTAACTGTACGGGTACCAACAAGGAAGGTGAGAAAGTAAAAGGAGACAAATGGCAAAGGAATGATGTGACCTAATTGAATGAGTTTAATGGCTGCCTACTCCATACTGGCCCCTAATTTATTTTATGGATTACTTGAGTACACAACTCAAATAACTAACAACCAAACAAAAATGTTTGCAAGTCAGTTAAGGGTTTTTTTTCTATTAAATTATGTACCAGTGTGTTAGACCCAGTAGACAGATATGGTAAAAAAAAAAAAAAGACTAGTCCTCCAAAAATAAGTCTCCTTCTCATACTTTATACAATGGCATCCTTTAACTTTAAGATGTTCATTGCAACTACCTTGTGAATTAGGTCAAGTCAAATGAGAAAGGTTGTTGAAAGGAGATTCAAGATATCAGGAATAACAGTCAGTGTCCGCATGTATGACTCCCAGTGCCAAGGAAAAGGTTTAAAATTGGTGGTTTTGTTCTGACTAAGCCAAGCTCTCTAGAGGAATAGTTGAAATTAATTCATTATGAATGAAATTTTCATTATTTAGAATACCTAATTAATTCATAAAGTACTGTGTGATTAAATCTTTTAACTTAAACAATACACATAAATAATCTTAAATAAAGGATTTAATTTTAATAATTAAATTAATATTATTACTTTTCTAAAATTCAAATAAAAACAATAAATGTATCTAAATCATCTTCATTACTCGATTTAAAAAAAAAAAAATTGATCTCCGAAAATGGCTTAAACTAAAAAAAGAAAATAAGAAAGAAAAAAATCTACCGGTACTAAGAGAAATTAACAAAGCAAAAATAAAAAAAACAACTAAAAATAATAAAACTATGAATCAATCAAATAAACAAGGAGAAAAAACAATTTCAAAAAATAATTCTCATACTATTATTGTTATCACATTCGGCTTCGAAGCCATTTAATATGTACGAAGCCACTCCGGGTGCGAATTGTCATTGGCGATGATAGGTACCCGGGTACCTATAGATGCAGCCATTATTAAAAGTCCCGGTGTGTATAAGAACTTTTAGCAAAACAAACCGAGGTTGGTCATTTCACGGTTGGGTTAGTTAACTTTTTCGTAAACAGACCTAACGGTACACTTAATTCATTGGAAACAATTATCGTAATTTAAATCTTAGACTCCAGCTTCAATGGATCTTGGGCTTGCTTTTGACGACGACGATCTGCAAAATTTTAAAAAAAAGATCGATGACATCTCCGCTCTTCCCTATCATGTTAAAATAGTACAACCAGAGGTAGGACATGCTCAAAAAAACTAAACTAAATAAATATACTAAATTAACAGTCTTTCTTTGTAGATAGAGTCTAGGCCAGCGTTTCAAATTTTTTAAGTTTGGCGGACCGGCTGGCATATTTATTATACCGGGTAATTATGTCTTTTAGACTTCAGAGTATTGGCGGCATTGGTCATTGGTCCGCATATCACCATTTTGGGGAACACTGGTCTAGATCTCATCTAAGACTCTAAGAAAGATGATACAAACTAAAGAGACTAACAAACTGAAGAGTCTAACTAAGCAATAATTTGATAATCTACATCAGAGGCATTACTACCAGGATTGGTGTCACCTGGTGTGGTCATCTTATGGCTTATGGTGTCACCTCCCTCTCTGCCTCTCTCTCAGGGCTTCCCCCTCTCTAACCTGCACTGAGTAATTCTTAACTAGATCATACAGAACCGTCTGGATTATTGTTTGTAAATTAAGTCCTAAATCCACAAAAGACAAGGTGAAAACATAGAATTTGAGCTAACATCGTTTAAAAAAATGCAATTACTTGTTATTGAAACATTAAACTTTATAAAAAGATACAAACATGTCAAAGTCAATCACTTTAACTTTATCAAAACAACATTCTGTACCATATCACTTTCAAATGACAAAATCACAAGACCAGAAAGCCTGCACTGTAGATTGCAAATAATTCTGAATAAGTTTGAGCTTTGAAACTAAATCACCTTCAGTGCCTTCAGGCACCAGAAAATTCTAGATTCACTTTCACCTCATATTGTAAAAATCCTTAAAGTTTAAGGTTACACAATTTTATTTGCTTTTTACTTACACTGTTTGATTATTTAAATAATAGTCAGAGGTATTGATATTGTTTAAGTATTTACAAATATTTCCATATGTCTATGTCATATGTTTTAAGAGTACATCACAAAAACGATAAAACTTATACTATCTTACATTTCTTACAATTTATGTTCCCCATCTTGTTTACATTATTCCCTATTAGCAAAATATTAGCTTAAGTGTCCATTCACACAAAAATGATTAATGTATTTTAATGACATATCTTAATCACATATAATAATTCTCTAGGTATGTACAAATGTATGGCTGCAATGCTGTGTTCAATAGAAACACCAAATAAAATTCCCAAAAGTTAGAACTAATTGGGATTCTATTAAGTGTGTTACTTGAATGGATATTTTGTCAAGTAACTTTAGTTGATTGCTACCGCCATTGTTTGGCAGGTCATTTCTAGTTAATAAGAAGTATAATTATATGTGGAAGTTTTAAACTTGATTAAATTTTTAATAACAGCTGAGCTGGGAATGGCCTGAATGAGAATGCTGCTCTTAGCAGATTGTAGATATTGCTTTTGTAATTTCTGTTTAGAATATACATTATTATAACACTTTTATATTGCTACTACTTCTGCATTATAAAACCTTTGCTGAACATTCCAGTGGTTTGAGTCAGCATTTGATGTACAAGGCCTTCATGGCTGGACTGAGATAGAGACGGAGCAGGTTCCCCATGCATATAAAATGAGTGGAGATTTTCATTATTATAAACAGAACTACAGAAAAGCTTCTGAACAGTATCAAAATGCTTTAGGTAAGTCGTATAAAGTAGAGGCGTAGCCCGGTGGGGGCAGGGGGGGACAGATGTCCCCGGGCGCCAGCTAGTTAGGGGCGCCAAAATGTGCTTTGATATTATTTTATTGATGAAAATAATGGGTTTGAGAGTTGAAAAAAAGAAAAAGGGGCGCTAAAAATGGATCTTGTCCCCGGGCGCGAATCTTGTCCCCGGGCGCCAAACACCCTCGCTACGCCACTGGTATAAAGTTTAACTATGAAAGTACACTCAGAATTATAATTATGGTTTGCTTTTTTAACCCAAAAATTTTCTGAAAATTAAGAAATCAGTATGTCAGTGTGATTTTTTTTTTTAACTTTAAATTTTAGTTATATTTAATAACCGATTTTTAACCAGTTTTCTTCATTTACCTTATTTCATACTTATTTTCTCCAATAAGATTTACTACCAGAAAACAATGTGTCAGTCCGACAAGATTTAATTGAGTCTCTTTCAAGATGTTACATGTATATTGGGCAAACAGAGGAAAGTTTGCATCTAGCTAGAAATTTGGTAATTTAATGTTAATTATTCTTATTTTAATTCTTTTCTTGAAAAATATTTCAATAATATAAAATCAAGATTTACCAATTAAATTTCCCTAAGTGTTTATTATTGTTGTTTTTTTATATAACAGTATTCAACTATGATCACTAAGTAATGATAAGTAATAGCTTACTATTAGAGGGTCGGCCTGTGATAAAGCTGAAGTTGATAAAAGTAGATAGTATTGTGTATGTATTATGATTTGTTCATTTTTAAAATTATATGGTACATATTCTTAAGGTTCATGACTTATCTAAAGAAGATGAGGCACATCAAAGACAGTCATTAATTCTACTTAGTTCTGTGTGTGCAAAGGCAGGATTATGGGCAGGTACAACAAGTGTCCTAGTATTATTTTTGACTAAACAGTCTGTAGTCTCACTATAGAATAAAATAAATCTGCAAATGTTATTTTCAATAAAATACTAATACTATATTACAGAAAAATTAAATATTGAAACAAATGAACTGTTTTTACTTTTACTATAAGTTTTTAAAATTTAAGTTATAAGTTATATTATTTTCTAATTTTAAATGATAAATATAATCTAATTGTTAAATATCATGGAAACATGTCATTTCCCAAATCAGCATCCATTTGCCATCGTTCATCATAGCTAGAGAGATCAATAAAGTCATGAAATTATCAAGTTACATTACCTCTAACAAATGATTCCACCAGAATTTGTGAATTGTCTAGAAAAATTATGCTGCCTACAGCCATATTATGCACAATTTTGGAGCCAACTTGGTGATGCTTATGCAAATCTGCTCAATGAAATCCAGATGAGACACGATGATGCAGATGATCCTACACCTCTAGACTGCCAAATCAGACAACTTACCTGTTACACCAGAGCAAAGTCAGTCCATTTTAAATTTCACATTGTTAAAATAAAATATGTGTATAGGAACATGTTTTTACTTAAATTTAAATCGTTCAAGAATTCAAATTTAGGAGTGCCTATTCTATTTGTGGTCAATATGCTTGAAATAAATATAGCTTTATGATAACAACCATTATTAATTTCAGACTTCTGCATAAATCAGTCAATGGAACAGCTAGCAGCTTAGTTAGGCTTAGGAACATGAATTTGATAAGAGAGGTACAGAAGCTTACATTTTATTACAAACTATTGTATTAAAGATGGAACAAGTTTCATTTAAGTGTCTGGACTCTGCTTCATTGTTAGCAATTACAGTGGAACCTCTCATAAAGAGCTTAATTCGTTCCAGAATCTTACTCGTTAAGCGAAACACTCGTTTAAAAAAACAATTTTTCCAATACAAATCAATGTAAAATACGATAATGCGTTCCATGCTGAAAAAATACTAATTTTTCAAAAAAATCTATTAACATTTATTCAAATAAAATTACTTATGCATTGTTAAGGAGTGTAACACTTGGAATACCATTTAGATTTGAAACAAAAAACGTAAATAAAAATATGAATTTATGACAAATAATCCTTTTTAACCAGAAAACTGTCTAAAGACATTTTTCTTTGCTGACGCTTCAAAATTTGACGAAAATGTGTCACAGCATTATCATTGAATAAATTTGTAGCACGAATAGCCACCTCCTTATTAGGATGATGCTTCTCAATGTTCCATGCAACAGTTTCCCATGCTTTCAGCATTTCTCTTATTGTGCTAGAAGATTGTTGCTCTGCTACTTCCTCCTCCATTAATGAGCTCTCATACATAATTTCCTGCTGTGAAACACGATGCAACTCCATAAGCTCTTCGGTGGTCAACTCTTGACTGTTCTCTTTCACAAGCTCTTCAATATCGTTGTCCACCTCGGGTCCCATGATATTGGCCAATGACACAATCTTGTTAACTTTAGACTCCACAGTTACTGTTTCAAAATCACATTCAACAACACCCTCTGGCCAAAGTTTTTTCCAAGCAGAAGTGAGGGTCCTCTTGGTAACTCCTTCCCGAGTCCTGGCTCACAAATGAATGTCAGGAAAAAGGGACTTCCCCTTTCTGCGTAACGCTTTATGCGAAATGTCGCTCGTTAAGGGAGCAACTTCTTCACATTTTTTTTGCTCGTTATTCGAATTACTCGTTATGAGAGGTTCCACTGTATTTCACTCTCTGATATTTAACATTCTTTTGAAATTCTTCATTAAAAGTATAAGTATATCCTTTTAAAAGATATGAATGAACCTAATTCAATAGCTTTATGTCTTGCTATTTTAAAGTGTCTGCTCTTCTCTCATTTGATTATAATATAAATCCAGGCAGCATACTGATTTTTACAAGATTTTTTAAAAGCAATATTTAAATGTTGCTCTAATCATCTGTGTACACATATTTTTTTTTCAGTTAGAAAAGAAAATTGCATGTGCCCCATTTCCTGAGAGAGAAAAGACCCTTGCTGTTGAGGTTATACATATTCTTTTTGGTTTATTAAAAATAACTGAAGCCTTTAACAATGTAATTGAGAAATTAGTATAAAAATTACTTTTAAATAAATAAAATAAAAAATAAAAAGATTTATTTCATTTCAGTTTATACAACAGGAGTTTGAAAATCAAGCTACAAACATCAAAGTAAGTATTGATTTTTAATATTTTTTTCGCCAGAAACACAGCTTAATTAAGAAAAAAGTATGTGCAAAATTATATTCGCAATCAAAAGTTTTCGTTAAAATATTTCTCTTAAATGTCTTCATTGTAATATTCTAACAACATGTCTCTTGATACATTGATAATCATATCTCTCACATTTTTCGCTCTGCATACACAGCTATCCGTCAGATCAGCTCCATCCGCCACTACCTCACAGTTAATGCAACAAAAACCCTAGTCTGTGCTCTTGTTCTCTCTCGTCTTGACTATTGCAACTCTCTTCTGTCAGGTTCACCAAAACACTTACTAGAAAAATTACAAAATGTTCAAAACTCAGCTGCTAGGCTAGTTCTAAAGGCAAATAAAAACAAGATCATGTCACACCACTACTTTATTCACTTCATTGGCTCCCTGTACCAGCACGGATTGACTACAAACTCTCTTCTCTGCCACAACTTTTTCTTGAATTCCTGCCCTTCTTTCTGTCTATTCACCCCTTCGACAGCTTCGCTCCTCCGCAGACTCGCACAAAAACATACGGTGAAGATCTTTCCCTTTCTGTGCCCCTAAAAAATGGAATTCTCTTCAATTACACACCTGCAATATACTGACCATCACAGCCTTCAAAACTGCACTCAAAACACATCTTTTTAAACTCTACTTACTACTATCAACTCTACTATCCTGACTGATTCCCCCCCCTGGCCAAAAAACGATGCTGCTGGGTGTCGTCCATGGCTTATCATGTAAATAGTTTTGGTATACATTTATTTTGTTTTATTTAATTAATGTGCGTTAATTTTTTAAGTTCATGATTATGTTTGTCAAATTGTATGTACAGCGTGGTACCACCACGCTATATAAAACCACTTATAATAATAAAAATATGATATCAAGTTAACCTTGGGGACCCAACAGATTTGATCTGATCACAGAAGAGTGCCCAACGTACTCTATTGTGATCAAATTCAGTTTTTGCCTAGAATAAACTTAATAATCTTTGAACTATCAAATACATACAGTTTTCTGAAATATGAGATATAAAATCTGTGTATTATTACCCATACTTTTCTTTGTGTATTCCTTCTTCCAGGAGTCCAACAGTGAAGTACTTGAAATATGCATACCGGTACATGAAAGTACTGATGATGAATCTAAATTAAGCCAGTCACAATTGTTTTATCAACGATTTTGTACTTGGTTTACAAAAGATAAAGTAGGATAAATGATCTGGAACATGTAATTGGTTCTAATATCCTTTTAAAAATTTACTTAAATCATTCAAATATTGAAACTAGTCAAATAAAGTGTTTATAAAAAGAAATGGAGACTTCCCTTTATTTTGTCAAATACAATTGTTAAAAATAAATATTGCACTTAAATTTTCTTTAAAGGATAACATTTACAAATGAATTTTGTTAATGGACATCAGAAGCGGACCATTTGATTTTTTGGTATACATGGAATGCTTATTTTATTAAAATATCATAGTCACAAAACAGATAAATATTAAAAATATTTACAATTATTCATTCAAACATAAACCAGCTATTTATTTATTTAAGACAATTTTAACCAAGATTACCTTCTAGTTATTAAGCTCATTTTCATTGCATCTTATAATATAAACTGACATATCGGTATTTTAAAGAAATTTACTCTTTAAAAAAAATTACATTTCTCACTCATTTTAAATCAATAGTCTTTATTAGCTATTGATGGCCAAAAATCTAAGCCAACTCAAAATTAGTTTTATTTTCATCACATTTGTGACTTGAGGTTAAATAAAAATATTTTCATGTTAAATCCAAAACATTTCAGAACAGTTTCATTGAAAAACTTGTTAAATGGGAAAATTCATTCCTTGTTGAATGTTCTAATACAAGACATTATTTGTATGTTACAAGTCATTACTTTACAAGGGAATCATTAATAGCAACTTCTCACAACACCTCACTAGAGATAATGATGTGATTTTTGGACCAATATTTATTTTCACACATTTAGAAACGAAAACAAAAATTCCCCAAAATGTTCCGAACCTATTCCTTGGAGATATACGTTTTTCAAAAGGCCATGTGTTGTTACCACTTAATATTTGGAATTTTTATTTGCCAGCTGAAAGCATGCAGGCGTTTTTGTTTTATTTAGGTCGACAACCAGATAAAACAGTTTTCTCCAAACTGAACCTAACATGAACATGATTGGGATCAAAAGCCAAAGGTATTAAACAGACATGGAGAAGTGCATCACATTAACAAATGAACAGATTGTCTGAATTTAGTCCTCCTGACTTAGTGTTAAGTCATTTTCAAGCAAGCAACAGGAAATCCATCTCCTTTATGTTTGCTGACCAGGTCAAGAATTGCTTGTTTCTTGTGTAAAGCTCTTGATGTTTCTAGTTCATACAGGGTACACAAGTTAAAAAGAACTCCCTCGTGAAGAGTGTTCGCTGGATCACTGTGGACTAGCTGCTCAAGTGTGTTGAGGGCATCTTTCAAACGGCCAAGATAAAGAGAGCAGACTGCCATATTATTTACAGCCTTAATAGAAAGAAAAAAAGACAAGCCAAACTGCATTTTTACCACTGAAGAAAAAGTGCTTCCACATTTGATAAAGTAAAATTTTAAGTTTTCAGTACAACAAATTACATATTTAAAAAAAAAAAAAAAGTCCTAACTAATTATCTGTGATAAAAGATGGTTAACATAAAAAAGCTAATTTTAATTAGAATATATAAAACTAATGTATAAAACTGATAGTGATAGTAAGAAAAAAAAACAAGACAAACTGCATTTTTACCACTTAAGAAAAAGTGCTTCAACATTTGATAAAGTAAAATTTTAATTTTTCAATACAACAAATTACATATTTAAAAAAAAAAAAAAGTCCTAACTAATTATCTGTGATAAAAGATGGTTAACATAAAAAAGCTAATTTTAATTAGAATATATAAAACTAATGTATAAAACTGATAGTGATAGACTCATATACTTACGCATGTGTTATGAGGCTGTAACTGCACAGCTGACTTGAAGTGTTGATAAGCATCAAAGAAATTTGCACCACACATGGCTAAAAGTCCCCTGGAAGAAAATAATTTTGAATCATTAAATAAAGCTCCTCAATTGATTTTCTTCAGACATGAAATTCCAAATTACTGAACCCTTGATAAAGAAGTATCCCATGGTTATGTGTATTTGACACTGACTGAATATTCTAGATCAACATGGCACATATTGTATCACAGAGGAATAGCAGAAAATTTGACTATTTTCCCCAAATAAGGCACGTGTATCTGATGGAATATTTATAATTAGCAAATCCCTCAAAAATATCTTCAAGTCATGAAGTAAATAAAGAAAATTTAAAAAAGATTATTTTTAAAAAAATATAGGTCAAAGATTAAGAATGTAATATAAGTACACTAAAATTGTGCTTTAGTCAGTAGCGTAAAGGAAGTTTATATAATACATAGTAATAGCAATATTAATGGTAAAGCTAAAACAGTCAAAGAGACACTCGTACCTGCTGATCAGATTATGACAAGACACAGAACTGTCAGTCTTAGAAGATTCAGTTTCTACATCTTTCATAATGCGTGTCGCTTCTGCGATGTTCCCCATCTAGAATAAAAAATGTAAATAAATTTAATAAACATGCATTGATCTTTTCAATTAATATTTTGCTCAATTGGTGGTCTCAAACATCCAAGCTGCATTAATATCCCAACTATTATATTAAATTGTAAATAAAGATAGTGAAGCGTAATGCTTAAAAGTCTTTTCTACTCCCCTTGACCAAGCAAAGGGACATAAATATTTTTTAATCGATGTTCTTTTGTTGGAAAGATTATACCGGTATTTCTAAGGTATTTCACAGGAAAGATAACTAAATCAGCAGAGACATCCATCAAGGTCAGTTCAATGTTTTATTTGCACGAAAACAACATGGAGAGCAACTACACAGCATAAAACCGTGTTGTTACAACACAACAAGTGTGCCCTGTAAAACAATTCCTGCTTAATATTTCGCATTTTAAAACTTTTCATGACCTTTTACTAATAAATTAGCAAAAAAATAAATTACTAACAGGTTTTTAAAATTAAAACTTTGTATTTACTGATAAATGGACACAATTTCTGGTAGACTTTGGAAAATTAAAATGAAAATAATTTTCACATTTAAAAATCCATAAAATGAAAGAGGAAAAAAATATCAATTTTTTGCCATGAACTTTCTTCAACAAGCACACCAATGTCCCTTTTCTTAGCTTTGGTGGAACCCAGCAAAACTGGCAACTATAAACAGGTTAATTTAACCCATTATACACCCAAAACTGCTTCAGACACCCTTCCACTGTTGTTTTTTTTACAGTTTTGCTGTCATATTGTGGCATTTAGTTTTCCTGCCAAAAAGTCTCATCATTTCATGTTTAGAGGATGATTGTGCTACAACTGAAACCAAAATTTCTGTGTTCCTTTTCAACTGCTAATGAGCTGAAGAATTTAACAGTCCTGAACACAAGTCAAGGTGGAATCGGAGAAGGATTGTCGCAGTATCATTAATGTTGCAGAGTGGTAGAGTTCCTGGTCACCTTCATTTTTATGGAGGCATTGACTATTCTTATTTGGATTAGGAACCAAAAGACTATCCACTTTTTCTATCTTATATCTTTTCTGCACCTAGTGGCCACCCTTTCCTTTTTTTTGGTGCCTATCATCACACATGAATAAGTAAATACAGCCAGCTAATTCTCTGCAAGTTTGACACTCAATAATGATCCAAAAGGGGTCTAATTTTAAAAAGTGGATCCTAACTGTTCCTTAGCAACCGAATTGTTATTGTCATTCGGATGAAAATATTGGCTTATTTTCTTGTATCTGTTCTTCATCTTTGTCAGCTATGGCTGGAACTCTTATTCTCAGATCTAGAGTAGAGATCAGAAGGTGTCCTCTTCACGGTGTCAATAATACCAAACATACTTTAGCAAACTGGGTGCAAGTGGCAGGGAGTCTTTTTTTTTTTGCCACCTTTCATGACCTGACCAATATGATAAGTGGAATTTGAAGGTATTTTTTTATCTGCCACTTTTTCACTTGATTCATTGTTTCCATCACTATTGTCATTTAAATTAATATTAATATCTGATTTTCTTAACTATTGCTGCTAGAATCATTTTATAGACGCTCCTTTGGGCCTAAACCCATTCATCAATGATAATTATGTTGTGCTACAATCCTTGGAATCGTGCTAATATTTTGCCACGGAGGTAGCTTTGAGACCATTGTTTGAATTACCTGGTACATGAGTAGAAAATTTTAAATGTCAACTGGAACACCAAATACTTAACAGCCAATATTTATAATAAGTCTAGTTAGTTAATTTTTGTGCTTAATGTAGATCACAATAAAAAATGTGCAACTTGAGACTAACTTGTAAATGGATTCTCCCAATTCCAGCCAAAAGTTCCAGATGGGCATTCTTGTCCTTTTCAAGTAATGTGTTATAGATTGCCAAGGCACCCTCATAATCCTATGAAGAGATTAAAATTGCTTAAATAGGAATACATAACAATGCAAAGTTAAATATTAAAATATACATGGTTGAGTATGCAAAAATTATTTGCTATAACTTGTAACATTCTTTAATGATTTGTTGTTGTTTTTTTTTTGTTTTGTTTTTTTATTTGAAAAGTGTTAGCTTTCATTATCATTATTAATTTACACTAAAGTTAGATAGCACAGATATATTTCTACTCACCTTCACTGCCAGCATTGTTGATGCAATTTTGTAAGTGATGTCAATGTCTCTTTTGTTCCATAATTCTTGTGATACTAGAAAAGCATGAAAAAAAATATGGTTAAATTAGAATAAATGCTCTAAAATAATGTGACCTTCAAAACTTCAATGTTCACTTACGGTACATTTACAGAATGTCTGTAAATGTCCCAAAATAAAAATGAACTCACCCTTTCTAGCTTCATAAGTCATATGAGTAGCACTACCGTCTTCACTAAGGTCAGATGTAAGATTGGATTTTATCTGTTAAAGTCAAGTAAATTAAGTTTATTTAAATAAATTAGCGATCATAAATTTCCAGTTTGTTTTTAAAAGGCAAAGTACTTTTATGCGACATTAGAAACCAGGCAATATTGGCTCTTAATGTCTGAATCATACATCTAATTTCTAAATTATTCTATTAATTAAGTAATCTGGAAAATTTTTATAAAATGCAAGAATTTACTCGATTGCAAACAGCCAACATGTAATACAATCTATCCAAACTTTCTTGACTTCGTCCACACAGCAATGGCAGCTCTGCATGAAGAAGCCGCATTGAAAATGACACCATAGAACCTAATGATAAAAAGAAACAAAAAATTGAAATGTTTTTAACTTTACAGTTTAGAAATAAACTTTACATAAATGTTAAATAACAGTTTTCTCATTTCCTTTTGACACAGATATCTAATGACCACCACTGAATAGGAGCACTAAGGAGCTATAAATACAGTACCCGGTCCCTCCAATGACAACAATTTACAGTTGATTACCTCTTCGTCCTGGATATGTATTTGCATAAAACTGGAAATACAAATCTGGCGTGTCTAAATTTTGAAAAGCTTTCATCTCAGCTTCTGCAAGCTCATACATTCTAAGTTTGACCATTAATGCCAACCGACAAAACCACAACTGTAAGGAATGAGGTGTGTGGACTGTAACACAACCAAATTTGCCATATCCTTGGCCAACTTGCTCTAACAATCTGCCAGTTAAATCTATGGCAGCCCTCAGACATCCAGCTTCCTAAAAAATTATAAAAAATTTTTAAACATGACAAACAAACCATTCTCAAGAAACAATACAACTGAAAAACATAAGAAGTAGCATGCCAACTTCTAAAATAAAATAGTACCGGTATGATCTTGTTCATATCCATTGGAACACTGGCAAGAATCACTTGATGCTTATTAAATTTAAAATTATTTTAATTTTACCTTAAGTTGTAACTAATTTATTGCCATGTCCTGTTCAACTACAGTGATGTTTTGTTGCATTGAAGAAGGGACAGAGCTTAGTCAAATACTAATATGAGGAAAAAAAACTTGCAATTAGTTTCTTTAGTCCATCAGCATCTTGGGTCACACTGTTAACAGTCAAAACTGACCGCTTTACAGCTTCTTGTTCTCCCATGTATCTCAAAACCAATTCTTTGACAGGATCACCCTGGCATGAGAAGAGTTGGTTATTTGAATTTAATGAACAATTTGTTTTGCAATTAGAGAACATCCAAATTAATCGACAGAAATTAATTGTTTAAATAATATTTAAATTTAAGGAAATGTAATCCTCTTCAGTCTTTACTCACTTGAAGCTCATTGTTAAAGATTCCAGGTGTACTAAGCTGTTCAGTAGCTGGTAAATATGTACCAGGGCTTGTAGCTAAGATTTTCAAGACATGGCTGGTGGCATCTGATGGAATCCATGCATCATGACGTCTGTCAGCATCACTCATGCTAAGTATGGATGTAAAAACATCTTCATTAGCTCCCGTGGAACCAAATGGTGCAAAAACTGAGCCCCCTTTAATTTCTGGGCTCGGCATATGAAAAGGACTTCCTGGCACACCTGTTGTGTCGAAAACGGAAGGATTAATTGGAGCATAAGATGGACTAGCAATGAGGACGTCCCGGTTTGAGTCACTTATTTGGTGAACTGGTGTGCCCATGGGAGACAATTGTGATGGTGTTGTACCAACCACTGGTCCATGGTGCTTGCTGGAGGATAGCTCAATAGGTGGGCTGAGGATTGCAGCTGTCTGTTGAGACTGTTGACTCTGCTGAGTTGCTGGTATTACTGGGGATGAATCTGCATGTTCAGAACTTCGAGATACTTGGGACATGAAGCTTGGCTTATCATCATTCTGTGTGAACTCTTCAATATCCTCCTCTGCCAAATCAGCTATCTGTAGATCTGCTTGCTCTGTACCTCCTGACTCGACCACACCTGGGATAAAGCACATTTTTAGAAAGATGAATACCAATTAGATATAACTATAAATAGGCAAATTATGATAAATACCTAAGACGAGCTTATTAACAGAGGTTGTAAATATCTGACATCACAACACACCCCAAAAGCACTTATGTGCACATCATTTGGGTATTTAATATTGAGCAACCTAAAAAAAAATCGGTTGTCTCTGCTACATTAATAGCTCACTAATCCATGATTCCTTATTTTGTTTGTTTCATTTATGCCAATAGCTAAAAATGAATTTTTTTAAAAATATGACTTATTGAAATACAGTGACAATATGTCTGTTATTAGTAATATTAGTTCTTGTTGTTGTTAAAACATACCTTCAAATGCGATTGTTTCTGGTTCTGAAGTTGAAGATTTGTGCTCTCTGCGTTGAATGTGTGTCAAATTTTCAACTTTATTCTCACTTTCCTTTTCTTCAAAGACATTGCCATTTTTTTCTATCTCATCTATTTCTGAATCCTTAATTTGAAACACATCCAATTCTTTAAACTTTTCAGCCTCTCTAAATTCATCTTCATATTCTCTTTTCCTCAGAAAAGAATTTTGTCTTCGCATTCCGTCTTCATTGTCAGGAGACAAGGGAGTAGCAACAAAGTCTGTGTCTTTGATTTCAATAGAATTCATTTCTGATACTCTGATGTCTTCATCTGATTTTGATATGGATATAGACATGAAGAGATCATTACCAAGCTGATTTTCATCTTTAACAGATCGAAGACAATCAAAGATATCATCTCCAGAGTCAGCAAAGTAGCTACTTATATTTGCAGTGGCATCACCATGATCACGGACTGATGAACCTATATTTTGCTGAAAATATTTTTACAAAGAAAAAAAAGTGTAATAAATTGAATTTCATAAAAATATAATCTAATTTGAATCAATTGTCCTTAAACTTATTATTCAGCAATCTCCTTAAAGAAACTGGTAATCTTTATTTAAATTACACTGATCTTTGGCATCTTGCTTATCATTTATACAACTTGAGTAACTTAAATAAATTTAGCCAGTTAATTAATTTGTGTGTGTCCTTTTAACAATTACATGAAGTCTGAATAGTGCTAAATACTTCGATTAAACTACAATGATCTAAACAACTAGACTAGAGAATCACTGCATAAGAAAAAATAATCTCTGCGCTTTAGGTGACATCACATTGTCTCCTTCCCTGTTTTAAAATGTGATGGAAAGAAATAAAGATCTTAGAAATAACACATTTGAAGCCAACCTTTTCATTCAAATCCAAGGCTTTCACTTCTTGCAACACCACTTTTGTTATGGGCTCTTCTGGATTTTCTTCCATAATTTTGATTTCTTCTTCCTTCTTTGTGCTTATCTCAATTCCTCCTCCATCTTCTGGTGGATCTAGATCAACACTTTCTTCCAATGGAAGATGCTCAACATCATCCTGCTTTTTGAAGAAATAGATACATGAAAACAAATAAGTCTAAATTTTTTAAGTCAAAAGAAAATATATGAAAGACAAAGAATAAGAATGCCTTTCTATACTTAGTAAACAAAGTTATTTAAAACAGCATTTCTCAATGTGTATAAAGTATTTGGGGGTTATGTAAACTAAGACTAAATTTTTTAAAAAAACTTTTTGAAAAAATTGATATGGCACAGACTGCTTAGGTATCACTCACAAAATTACTTTTTAAAAAGTAAATAAAGCAATTAATAATAATAATAATAATAATAATAATTAGTGGTCTTTTATAGCGCGGTACCCCAGCCGAGGGCTTGGCTCACCGCGCTGTACATAAAATATTATCAAAAGAGACATAATCATGACATTAAAATCAAATACAATTATGAAATAAAGAACAGCATGAACCCCAGGACTTTTACAAAGCAAACCATGGACGGCAGCCAACAAGATCATTTATCGGTCAGAGGAGGGGAATCAGTCAGGGTAGTATAGTTTAAAGAGATGTGTTTTGAGTGCAGTTTTGAAGGCCTGGGTGGTTGGTATATTGTGGATGTGTAGTGGCAAAGAATTCTATTTTGTTTGGGGTGCAGAAAGAGAAAGATCATCCACCATTTGTTTTAGTGTGTGTCTTGGGAATGGACAGAATATGCGTGTCTGCGGAGGAGTGAAGCTGTCGAAGGGGTGAATAGACAGAAAGAAGTTCGGTTAGATAGGAAGGGCAGGAATCCGAGAAAAAGTTGTGACGGAGAACAGACAACTTGTAGCCAATGCGTGCCTGTATAGGGAGCCAATGGAGGGAGTGGAGTAGTGGAGTGACGTGATCACATTTTTTTGCCTTTAGAACTTGCCTAGCAGCTGAGTTTTGGACTTTCTGCAGTTTTTCTATGCAGTGTTTTGGTGAACCTGACAGAAGAGAGTTGCAATAGTCAAGATGAGAGAGAACAAGAGCACAGACTAGAGTTTTTGTAGCGCTAACTGTGAGGTATTGAGTATTGGCGGATGGAACTGATCTGTTAAAACATTCTGTTTAAAATTACCTTTCCAATATCATCAAAGGGTGAAGCCTCTAGTACCACAGAATCCAATGTATCTGTTGTTGGAGAGCTAACCATTGCAGAACTTAAACTACTATATGGCGGTTGGAGATGACATGACTCTTCCTCTTCATCCTCCAGCATAAAATCATCTATAGGAGTTGACATTTTTGTCAGGAATCTTTAGGGTTAGTAAATTTTATTTGAATTCCTGAAATGTAAACAAAAATAAATATACACAAAAGATTTTTATATATTCAGCAGAGCTTATACTTACACACAATTTCAAATTTTGTTCATAATACAGAAATAAATTTATGTTGTAGAATGCAAGTGCAGCTAAAAATATTATATCAGCTCTCTTTTATGAAGTTTTATGCATAATTGTGTAGTCATAGTCATACAATTATACATTCCTATCTTCTTGCTCCATAATTTTCTTTGAATGCCACAATTTCTCCTACCACTTTGGTCCCTTAACTAAATTTACTTTATGTCTTATTTAGCAATTTAGAGTGTTAAGATTATTATTTTAATAATAGTAAGCATCTACTAATTTTCTTTAAAGACCTATGCCTATAGTTATAGTATATTATATCAAAATCCATTTACTAAATTTAAAAATCGAACTCTACTCCTATAACTTATAACTTTATTATAGTCTTTGATAGGGCCTACTCCTCTAACTCTAATGTTGGTTCAATCTAGTAATAATAGTGTCTACTAAGAGTGACTAAGACAATACATAATCAGAAATAAAGTTAGACTTAGTCACTTGGACTTGACAGCCCAGAAGTAGAAGTGTAATAGTGTAAAAGTAAAATGAATTTAATATTTAAGTTTAAGGCGGTTAAGGGCAAGGGTGAGTAGTGTTACAATCAATTAATCAATTACAAGTAAGTTTAACTTAGACTTAACACTTAACTGCTAGGGCTAGTTTAGTGTACTTTAAGACTTTAAGTTGGGCTACTTAAACTTTGGGTTTCTTACAAAAAGTCTAGGTATAGTGTCACTAGGAGTAGCAGGTGTAGGGTAGAGCCAGGGCTGTAGATTGGGCTAATTCACCGTAAGTGTAAGTGTATGTAGTTAGGTACGTACCTGAGACCTCTTGTTTATTGTCGCATATCTTAAACGGATATAATTTAAAATTAAGTTTGTCTTCGCATTTTAATTTTCACCCTTAATTTTTGAAAAAGTAAGTTTAAAATAAAAGCAGATTTTTTAAAAAATTCCCGTTAATTGTAATAATTTGTACACATGTTCATACAATGTTCATTTTGATGCGCATGGGAGGCTTAGGAAAATATCCTAAATTGCTTATATGTATTAAGATGGCGGCTTCCACAGACTTTTATCTGCGCTACTATGTTGGCCATAAAGGAAAATTCGGACACGAATTTTTAGAGTTTGAATTTAGGCCCGACGGTCAGTTTCTTTGTCTTTTTTGTAGACCTTGGGTGGATTCTTAAGTACATTTTTACTTTTATAGCATTTTTGTTTCTTATTTATTGTGAGGCTTAGTTAGCCAACCTTGTTTCAAATTCAATTGTTCTGTTATTTGTCTTGTAATTTCAATCAATTACACGTTAGTACTACAAACTAGTCTAGTCTAGTTGAAGTTATTACTAATTACTAATATTACTAGTTAATAATTATTTAATAAAAGTTATTAAACAAACAGTTATTACTACTATTACCTATACTAGATACTTTGTAAACATTTTGTAAAAATAAACCAATGGCACAGTTGAATAGAGCTAATTTTTTACAGAATTATAACACCAAAATCATATTTTTAGCTTTTGTAGTTTTAAATTTATGAATTTTTAAAGTACGACTTGGTTTGTCCTTTTTTAACATGGACTTGGACTGCATCTCCTCATTCCGCTGATCGCGTCATGCACAATGACTATATAGTTTATATAAGGCAATGCATTCCCTTATCACTAAAATACTGTTTAGGGTCGACTTATTTTAAACTTTCAACTTTGGCACATGAATAATTAATTAAAGCTTTCCCTGACCAATGGTTTAATAGCTTTTGCACATGGCAAACTCTTATGAATGAAACTCTGAGATAGTACTACGATATAGCCGTTATGCAAGTGGCTGTGAATGTTTGCCAATGACAACGTGTTGCACAGGAAAAACTCTGATCATTTATAATATGGACTCTACAGGGTTTTTAAAGCTCAAATTAAAACATTCCAGTTTAAATGTTTTGAAAATGCATTCTGAAACACAAATTATAAAATATTTTGATGTATATAATATATAGTGGTAATAATTAAATATTTCCTAAGTATCGGCAACTTCCGCCATTAAAAAGGGGGTGTGGCCCAAGTCATGTCGAAATAGGCTGAGCCACCTTATGGTGATATGGGTCACTGTGACAAGCGTAACAAACGTGAGACACGACCTACATCAATGAAACTTGGCACAGATATAGATCAATATCTAATGCTCATACAGATTTAATCAAAAAGGGCCTTATCTTATTATTTCACAAAAAATTTTGATTGCGAAGATAATAATAATAAATAATAATAAAGTTCATTTCAAAAACACGCTTCATCCCCAAAGGCCTTATATATACCAAAGATTTTCAAAATAAAGGTCGATTGAAAAAAGCAAAATAGCTGGCTAGAAATGTAGGCCAAGATGTCTTCCAAATTATAAGGCCGGAAACGGAACTCAAATATATGTCGAAAGAACTAATTTAATAATAAATAGACACACACATCGGAAAATTAAAAACTCGGATTTTTCGGCGCCGATGCCCATTTCCGATAGAAAAAAGTAGTAGTCTCCCTTGTTTCATCGAAGTGCCTACCTATACTAGTTTGTAGACAACCACACCATTGACACTAAGTGAATTTTTAACTTTTTAAGTAGGATATGCCTGGTATTTTGCTAAATGAAAATGTCATAATAAAATTCAACTGTTAGTATTGACTATTCCCATCAATGTTTAAATAGAGCTTGGCTTAAATACAGGGTCCCGTGGCTTCCTGGAAATCTCCTGAAATTTGAAAAAATTGATAAAATCCTGGAAAACTCCTTAGGACATTTTTGTTTCCACAGAGGGAGGGGGAAAAAATCTTAGTTGCATTAGTCATTTTATTTATTTTTTGTCTATTCAATTCGTAGTCTATTTTTAGCCCTTCTTTTATCAAAATGAGTTTGCCATAAATCAATATTAATAATAATTCTAGTGGTTTTCCCTTAATTGCGCATGCGCTTTACGAGTTTCGAATATGAAATGTCATACCGTAATGCTTTGACAGACCAGAATTTTTTTGTTCTGTTTAGTTCGCCGTTCAACAGATTTTCTTGGTAAGTATAGGGTAAAATACAGTATATAGATATTTAAATGTAGTTTTTTAAAAAAATATTCAGTTAACTATTTTAAATAGAAAACTACACGCTCGATCGCTGTATAAATTGATTAAGCTTAGTCTACAAATTTTTTTAATTTGATTTTCTAACAGTTTTACTGTAGGTTGTCCAAACTGGAGAAAAAAAGATTTTTTGTTATAGGGTCATTTTTTCAGGTCGAAATTTTCAACAACAACAAAATAAATAATTTTTTAAAATTTTGTTAAATTAAAACCTACTTATAGAAGTAGAGTTAAAGTTAAGGAAATAAAATTTATGCTCGCGGCTGTTCAAGTTATCTTAGCCATAGGTCTACACCAACCTGGTGACCAAAGGAGAAGAATTTGAATTTGATTTATAAATATTAATAAACTTGAAACTCGACGCATATTTTTTAAAATAGAGTTTTAGTGCTAGGCCTTTAACTTTATTCAAGTTCAGTTTAATTATTAGAGTAGGCCTTCTAAATAGGCAAATATTAAACAAAAAATTAAGTTACAAGTATGTTATTTTTGCGTTCATAGTTTACAATGACTTCAGAACTTCATTTCAAATTATTAAAACTAGCTGATGCATCCATTGAGCCTCACATGACTTTACAACTTAGTTAGTCCTTATTTATACCCGTAGTTAAAAATTAACAAATGCACCCCTGTGCTCTAGGTATGCTTTGGAGTATTATATGCTTAGGTGTGTTGGGGGGGGGGGGGGGAGACTTAAGAGATTTTTTAAAAATTGGTTGCTTGCTTGGTTGTTGACCCATTCCCCTGTTCAAATTCGGACTTAGCCATTACAGAGGCCGATGCCTATCTTAGTTTCTCTTCTGCCTTTGTATTATTAATAAACGGTGTAATACAGTCTATATTATGTTAACCCTACTGTAGACCTAGTTTGATAATATATTAATTATATTTTGTTTCACTATTCAGGGTCTAGGGTAAATAAAATAATCCCCAACAGTTCCTTTGAAGACTGATGGTTAAAATAGCAATCCTGATTGAACAAGCCATCACTGCTACTCTATACTAGAAATTAACTCTGAACTGAGTCCATTCCAAGCTAGTGAGCTGGAGATCAATCCCCAGTAAATGCCCAGACAAGTAAAAACATCACCAGCATGCCGGGTAGATGGGACTCGTTAACCTTGAATGGCAACTCATCTTAGAGAAGGCAAACTCTGAAATCAAACCTGGAGATGGAGTCCCATAGGCATTATGACATTGACACAATGAAAATTCTGACAAACTCCTATGATGTAGAAGCATAAAGAGCATAGTGAAACATACACACTCACTGCTGGTAATCTACTGCATCCTGGTCTATACCAGTTGTCTTGACTAATCTTGCCATTTATTTAAATAGGCACGGACGAGAGAGTGGTTCTGACGAATTAAGCAACTCTCCCTAAATTTAAACAAAATACACCTCACCTCAAGGCGACTGCTCCAGACTTCATGATCTTTATGTGACCTGAACGAACAACAATACTGGAAATATTGATATCAAGTATATTTGCAGGACAGTTCTCGGATGCCATGAGGGAAATAAATATGACTTACTTGTGATTGAAATTTATTGTTTTATAAATTTATTAGTTGTTTGTTGTCAAACATCAAGTACATCTTATCAGAAACAAATTACTCAATTGTGTGTGAGCTTGGGACCAGAGTGTCTATACCGGTATATCCTTAAATCAAATAATTGCTATAGCATTAGCAGTCCTTAGAGTAAGAACTGGCACTATATAAGTGCATTTATGATCTGTTACTACAAAAAATTGTATAAACGTAAAGGGTTTTAAAAAAATATTTTAAAATGCCCTGGAATTTGGTATTTTCTCCTGGAAAAGTCCTGGAAAACTTCTGGAATTTTTTATTAGATTTGATGCAGGAAACCTTAAAATACAGAACCACAGACCTGTTTACTCTTACGATTTTGGCGTACAATGTACGATTTTTAGATGTCTTTTACGATTGTACGCCGAGACCCCCCAAAACTACGATTTTCAGAGACCCGGTGAAAAAATATTTGTGTAATTTTGTCCGATTTAAAAAAAAAAATTAAACATTTTCGGTTGTGGAAGCTTTAGCCCTTATGGCCCCGCATTGAATGGACCCAGAAAAACGATGGGTTTTTGTATATTTTTTTAATAGTTGGGACCATCCTTCATTATATTATATACGCACTGAAAGGGGAGGTGGCGGTTGTTGATTAAAGAGATTGGTGGCATACCAGAAACACGGGTTGGGGGGGGGGTAGGAAAGGTGGGAGTTTCAAAAGATATAAAAATATCACCGCAACGCATCCTATTGATGGTGGTGATGGTCTTAGTGTTGCTTTGCGTGTCACAGTGAACCAGCTAGCTGTGTCAGCAGCAATCTTTAGGCTAGTCGCCTGGCAACAACTTCACTCACCACCTCATTGGACTGCTACTGCTAGCAAGCGTGTGTTCGTCTGAACCGCGGGGATTGTGAAGAGAGAAAACTAGAGGTGTGAGATTTAGTCAGTGGCATTAAAAAAAATATTTTAGATCTCGCAAAGCAGCTCTATCCAGAGGCGTAGCGAGCGGGGGCAGGGGGGGGACAGATTCCCAGAGCGCCAGCTAGTTAGGGGCATGTTTCTTTCAGAAATTTTCCCCAGGGGGGAGCACTTCAGATTTTCAATAAAAGGGGTACTTCAGATTTTTCGGGGGGTGGGGGGCAGAGCCAGCAGTTCCAGTTGATTTATTGTTGGACATATTTTTGCTCCTGGGGGCACTTGGCTTTCCCCGGGGGAGGTGCCCCCCCCCCCGGAGATATAGCTGAAAGAAACCCTGTTTAGGGGCGCCAAAATGTGCTTTGATATTATTTTATTGATGAAAATAATGGGCTTGAGAGTTGAAAAAAAGAAAAAGGGGCACTTTAAAATGGATCTTGTCCCCGGGCGCCAAACACCCTCGCTACGCCTCTGACTCTATCCCCCTCAACAATTTTAATACAATTAAACAGTTTTGTATCACTACTGCTACTACTGCGCCCCCCCCCCCATTTTTGTTTACAGCTTGTGGTAGTTACTGGTCTCTGATACTATAGCAGTGGTCGGCAAGCCGCGGCTCGTCCAGACTGCGGCTCGGCCAGTCAACTACAAAGCGGTTTTTACTCCGAAAAACATGGTCCTTGACAGGTTCTTGAAAATAAATTTGGCTCGCAAAATTTGTTTAATGGTCCTGCTGCTGATTTGGGCTCTTTTGACCAATGAGTATGCTGACCACTGCTCTTTAGTATGTGAACGTAAAAACTCAGGGGCATATTGGATAGGCGAGGGCACTATGTTTTTCCTATTAATGAGGGTGGGGGAAGGTGGGTTCGTCACCAGCACGGAAATACGTGTTAGTGGACTAGTGTGTTGTCACTATGTCGTGTTCAATATGTCTACTACAGCGACCTCTTTATGAAAACACAAAGCATTAGTATACGGTATACGATAAATGCGAAGCATTGTGGTGATATTTGTATAGCCTTAATAATAATAATAATAAAAATAGACCTAATTAGAATTCGTGGGTTTCAGATTTTCATGTGACAGTTGGCTCTATAAGAGACTGTCAGGAATCAGGATAATTATTGTAGAATTTATGCCTACATGTAGGTGCATTCTGGTGCCCCCCCCCTCCAACCCAATCAAAACTCATACGCATCCTCAGCGAGTAAGTCATATTTGGATGGCCCTTTAAGTTGGCAAGGCGTGCAGCTGGGGGCGAGCTAGGAATCATTGTTAACTTTTTCATTTTTATTTGAAATGTTATATATGGGCTGTCCAAACAGCTCTGGCGCTAGAATTTGGCTGCATTGACCTATGTGCACATTGCGTGATTTTAATGTTACCATTATCATTAATGGAATCGGCAATCATTCTTGTTTTCGGTTCCGTAGTTGACCTCACTTAGTATTTTACGATATGACCTCGACAAAAAGAAAGGCTCGCGGAATGGGCGATGAAGAAGAAACTTCTCTTTCTACCGATAAACATCCGATTCAACAACAGAAAAAGAAAGTTTATCAGCAGATAGTCTTGCTTGAATATCAGACTAAATTGACTGGGTTGCGTTCTTCGTCGAATGGTCCATCATGCGCGCACTGCACAATTACACAATCTGCAAGTCGGACTTTTCATGAACAATCTATCAGGGACAAAAGGAGTGGTGTTGATTTAGGAAATTTTGGGTTTGGCGTGGGTGTAAATACTTAAAACTAAACAATCGACACCGGGACATTTCCGTAATGGCAGGTGGGGGGGGGGGGGCTGTTCCTCGGCAGAAAGAACGTACGTTATTTAAAAAATCTACAATATTCATCTCCTAACTCTGAAAAATCCAAAAATAGCATTCTATTTATATCTCGAATGCTGTACAGTACCACCCAATGTTTTGTAGGAATTATTGCGGTGATGTTGTCAAGATGTATTTTCACCAATAAACTCGCTAGCAGTAGTAGAGAAGTTACAGTTGTGTTTTAGTCATGAGTGTTCAGCGCGCGTGTGACGCATATTTCGTTGGGCTACGCCAGTGGTTCTTATAATTTTGTTTCCCGGCGCATATGTCATATTAGGTTTTCGCCAGGGTTTCCTGGATGAAATTCTTACAAGTACACTTCGAAATAGGGAATACACAAATAAAATAAAGGGTGGGATAAAAATAAATATATCGTTTATGGAGGTCACAAACATGGAGGTATCTATAGCAGATGAAGGTCTTCAAAATGAAGTGACCGCAGTTTGCAGTTAACGTCAGTCGAATACTGATTACCTTCAGTTCCATTTTTTGACAAACCGCTGAACTGGATGCCACTGACACACGCTATACCAGTAGTTACTGTAGACATTATATATTATATATAATGTATATTTATTTATTTACTATTAAAATACTGTATTGTACGATTTTGAGACGATTTTGTACGATTTTAGGAGTTTGAGGGTAAACAGGTCTGGAACCACCAATTTTAACTCTCCATCTTCCATTTTATAAGAAAGTCAATGCATTTTTTAAAAACTCGGGAACAGTTTCAAATTTTAAGACATTCGTGCTATTAAGTCACACCAAGTGTCGTTTCGACACCCAGTATAATACTATCTTTTAAAATAACTAAGTTGGAAATTTCAAATCTCTTGCACATACAGCTGGTTAAACATATTAATATAATGACATATAAATTTAAAAAACTTAATTTTTTTCTGGGTTTTCACAAAGATGTAAATAAAAAATGTATTCATACAAATACAAAAATGATCAGTTTATGTAATGGGAAACAAGTCAATTTTTGTTTACTTTATTAAAATCTTAAAAAATTAACTAACTGAGTTAGAAATATATTTTATATTGTGTTAAAGGAAATTTAAAGTTTATTGTCAAATTAACCGTCAGAGGATAAATTATAATGAAATAAAATTATAATGAACTAGAATTATCTTAACTGAGCATGTTCACATAAAATTAGAGTTTTATAGAATTTTTGAAAAATGACAGAAATTTAATCAAGTAAGATATCTAAATACAATTTTGACTATATTGTAGAAACTGATGTTTTTAATTGGAAATGAACAGGCTCAGGTTTAAAAATACAAATAATCCTCTAGAAATATTTTTATAAATAATGTACTTTCAAACCCAAAATTAAGAATATACGACACAATTAATTTGTATAAATTTAGTATTGGTATAGAAAGCTATTATTCATCACTTAGAGAAAAAATTGTATGACAAAGTAGATAAACCTATAATATATAGGTTATTTGAAGTCTGATGCCTCTATTTGCATGTCTCAATATGTTTCGGAACATTTCCTTACACTAGTTACACTGGTTTCAGGAAAAGGATGGATAAGCACTTGTCTTTGACTTAGATAGACCTATTAAAAGTATCAAAATATTTTTTATACAATGATAAAGAATTAGGAGACTTATATATATTATGCTAATATTGTTTTCATGTAAATTTTTAACAAAATATCTTTGATGTTAAAATAATTAAATTTAAAAAATCAAAGTCGCCTCAATTGAATATTTCAGAAATTATTAAGCAACAAGATTACTACTACTAATTAATAATAAGTCTAACACATTCATTTCCAAAGGGGTCCTCAAAGAAAATTATTAATACTAGCACATTAATCCAGATAAATTTCACTACTTGTTTTAAAATGTTCCACAGGTGAATAATAATTATTAGCACATCTGTCATCTTTCAAATGAATATTTATTAGTGTTCTTATATAGCCCTGTACCCCAGCCTAGTACATATTAACAACTTAAGTTTAAAATTTAGATGATGTCCTTGTAGACTACTTATTCAGTCTAAGTTAATGTTAATGGCTCAGGTACTCAAATGACTAGATAATAGCAAAATTGTGCTTGAACTCTGAAATAAAGATGAATGTATGCAGCTTTAAATTTTTATGTGTAGGTTTTACTCCTTGATTTTATTGATACCGGTATGAGAATCACTGATAATGTCGCTTTTTTCTATTTTATAAATACACATAATTGCTTGCTTTTTTGTAATGAATAAGTTGCAACACCACACCAAATTTAATTTATGATGTATCTTTAACATTTAATTTGTTATTATTTTCACTCCAAAAATGTAACATTATTGAATTTATATGGGTACAAAAATAACATCTTACGTTTAAAATAGTTATATTTAAAGTAGAAGATGCTATTGCTGCTTTCATTTATTAATATATAATTTTTTCAAGAGAATCCTGTAAATATGAACATTTACGTTGAGAAATATCCCAGAAATATGAGTGGAAGGGATGAGCTAAAAAATGTGTCACAGAGTGTGGAGACAAACTCAGTTTAAAAAAGTGTACTTGAGGTCTGCACTAAAAAATTCATAACTATTGCACTAATTGAGCTAGAAAGTTAATCTTGTGTTTTTTGTAAACCTTGCCTTTTCGCTCTATTCAACTGCTTTGGCTTTATATTTTTAGAAATATTTTGAAAATTTTACCAAGGTACCTTACTTAGGAAATAATAAAAAAAATCTTTGATATCACAGACAGTGATAGTTGCTAAGGCCTATAATTAGATATATAAATAAGCTATATGGACTGTCGGAATTTCAGTATAATTAAAAATTGCAGAATTACTGCATAAATGTATGACTGGTCTAGGGTAGGGCAAGGCGCATCTTATCTTAAACGTATTACATAATGGTATGAATGTCATGTTGTTGTTTTTTTTACTTGCCACTCTCTCTCTCAGCTCCCTTACACTTCCTTTATCTTCTTTCCTCTGGCTGTTAATAAATTATGTTTCTTCTTCTTTGCCTTTTCTCCTCAGAGTGTAATTTTCTGGATTCTAATTTAGTTATTTTATTTTTCAGGTAAGCTTCGCTATGCCAATAACTCAAATTATAAAAATGACACGATGATCAGAAAAGAGGTAAGTAGTTACATATTATGTTTCAATCGGGAGCATTATAAAAAACAATAATTTGTTAACATATTAATCTAGCTGTCTGTTATGTTATAAAGAAAAGCAAGATACTTTCTGTTTAAAAAATATTTCTGAGGGATATTTCATTTTTTTTAAATTATTTTATTTCAAATCAAATGTATTTTCCTACTTAACTGTTCTGGTTTGATGTAAATATTTTGTTTCAATTATAGGCATTTGTTCACAAATCTGTAATGGAGGAACTTAAGAGAATAATTGAGGATTCTGAAATTATGCAGGAGGATGATAGTGCTTGGCCATCACCTGACAGAGTTGGAAGACAGGTTAGGAAAAATATGGGCCATCATTTAGGTTCTTTATTGGTTCTCTGTCTGTCTCTTAATATTGGAATAATCAACCATTTGCCTAAAAATTATCTCATACATAAAGTAGTGTATTTCCTAATCATTAACCTATTGTCCTGTGTGTTGATACGTTGTCATTCAAAACAGGCAGATCAGGATCCAGTGCATAATTATTGGTGCAGTGAAGTTAACTTAATTCCTAGGTTAATTTACTTATATACTTTACTCTCTTGTGCCCCGCCTGGGGCATAGGCCGGCTACAGAAGTTTTCCATTAATCTCGGTTTAAAAATCTCGGTCTTTCCTTTCTAGTTGCTTCTCATACCCCAAGTTTATCCCATAGTTTATTTGTCTGCCTCTATGTGGTGTCTCCATGATTTCTCTGGCCTTCTTCTCTTCTTTTTTCTCTGTGGATTCCATGTTAGGGATTTTCTGGTCATGTTATCTGGGGGTTCACAGATAGTGTAACCTATCCACCTCCATCTTTTCCTTATGATGCCCTCAGTAATGTGCTCTTGGTGTGTCCTTTCAAGAAAGTTTTTGTTGGTGATGATGTTTGGCCATTTGAGGTTCAGGATCTTTCTAAGGCAAGTGTTTATGAAGGTCTGTACTTTTTGCGGGATGCTTACTGTTGTTCTCCAAGTTTTGGCTCCATAGCGTAGGACTGTTCAGATATTAGTTTTGAAAATTGTGACTTTGGTTTGCAGAGTCAGCTCCTTTGATGGGGCTACCCAAGTATGTGTAGGTCTCCACATCTTCCAGCTTATTCCCTGCAAAAGAGATATGCTTTTGTTTAGCTGAGTTTACCTTCATGATCTTTGTCTTGCTTTTATTTATATATTGAGTCCAAGCTGTGCTGAAATTGTGTCTACATCTTTTGTCTTTTTCTGCATTTGTATCTGGTTTTTGGACAGATGTTCAACGTCATCTGCAAAGTTTAGGTCATTCAGTTGTTTCCAGAGTGTTCACTGTTTCCCATTCCACTTTTTTTTCACTAACCAGTCAATGGCAAGGATGCATAGAAAAGGGGAAAAGAGACATTCTTGTCTGACTCCTGTTTCCTTTTTAAAGGCATCTCATTTCTGCATAAGAGCTCTGATTGATCCTGGTTAGTTTTCCTTTCTCCCTATAATGTCGGAGAAGTTTCCACAATGTTTGTCAGTCCAGGCCCAATTTCCCAATTTTAAGCTGCTTGATAGCCAGGGCTATTTCTTCTTTATTTGGGGCACTGTCTTGTATTTTTAAATCTTCATTTTCTGGTTTTATATCTGGTGTGTCTAGGTCTGTTTAGTAATTTCTTTAAGTATTTCACCCATCTTTTTGGCTGTTCTTTTCGTTCTGTTATAGATCTACCCTCCTTGTCTTAATATCAGACTCTCTGACTTCTTGTATCTTCCTGAGAGCTTTCTTGTTATATCATACAGCTCTTTTGGGTTCCCCTTTCTGGCTGCTTCTTCTGCTATTGATGCTAGACCATCTATGTAGGTTCTTTTTTCCTTTTTAATACTAATCTTTACCCTTCCATTCTATATATTTCTCCTGCACACTTTGTTTTTTCTCGTCCATTTTTGCAAAATGTTTGAATGAGAGCCAATCTTTGTGTTTTTGCTTCACTGGTCCTAATTCCTCATTGCATTTGGATGTTACGGACATCTTTATGTTTTACCATTGAAGTTCTATCTGGTTATCATCTGTTTGGTCTTGCAGTACCTGGAACTTATTTCTCATGGCGAAAGTTAATCCTTATTGTTTTGAATGTTGGGCTGGAGTGCTATGTTGTATTTTAGTAGTCTATCAGCTGGGTCTTCCATGTTTTTCTTCAGTTTTAGCTGGAGTCTTGCCCAAACTAGATGGTGATCAGATGCAACATCAACTACTCTTTTAGCTTGTACATTTTGTAGAGACCTTCTGAATTTTTTGCTAATACATGCATGGTCTATTTGGGTTTCTGTTCTGTTATCATGGGACATCAAGTTACCTTGTGGATATTCTTATGCTGGAATACGCTGCCCCCAATAATGAGCTCATATGCAGAACTCTGCCAGTCATTCGCCATTTTCATGTAGCTCTCATATACCATGGTACCCCATAATTTCTTCATAATTTAGATCTCCCATTATGATATTTAGATCTCTACCTGGAAATTTTTCTAGTATGGCTTGTAGTCTATTGTAGAAAGCTTCTTTTTCATCCTCCTTACTATCATTAGTGGTTCACTGTTTAACATTCATATTTATTTTCTTCGTTTTGATTTTGAAAGTTGCTGTAAAAATTCTTGGTCTATGGACTTCCCATCCTGTCAAAACCCCTTGGTGCCACCGTGTCATCATGAAAGCGACTCCCATTTTCATCATCATGAGTATATTAGTTAATATGAGTGCTTCTCCTGAGGCCATTGTTAACTGTCCAGCTTGTTTGACATGCTGAGCAGTGTGAGCTTGTATGTTCTCATTTCTGCTTTGAGGCTTCTAGTATAATCTGGCTTTGCCTGCAAGGCTTCATAACTCTTCTTGGGTAAAAGCACTCTCTTATCATGGCTGAAATAGTTGATTCTTTTCTTCTTGTTGACGTTTCTATTACAGTTTGTTTTTTACAGGTGAGGTAGCTGGCCTCAAACCTGCTCCTTTTGCACCTGTGCTTGGGACCGGCGATGGCAGAGTTATTTACTGATATAAGTTGACATAAAATCTAAAAGATTACTGTTTTAACAAGTCATCAAGCTTATTTGCCTTTCTTTTTTTTTTTTTTAAATCTACATCTTTGTCAGGAACTGGAGATAGTGATTGGTGATGAACACATTTCTTTCACAACATCAAAGATTGGTTCCTTGTTGGATGTTAACCAGAGCAAGTAAGGCTTAATTAATAAAATTATGTCCCTGTTTCAAATTTAATGTTTACCATACATATTAATGATACCAATGGGTGTTGCATTCTTAACAGTTCTTAAGTAAAACATAAGTCATGCATCGTAAGAAGAGTTGCTAGTATTTTTATTTTTTTTAAGTTTTAACCAAAAAACATTAGACTAGCCCTGTAAACAAATAATTAAATTTCTCAAATAATTCTACACAAATGTTTTAATTTTAAAAATTCCAGAGATCCAGATGGTTTACGAACATTCTACTACCTTGTACAAGATTTGAAATGTTTGGTTTTTTCACTTATTGGTCTCCATTTCAAGATAAAGCCAATTTAATTGCTCACCTGTTGTCATTGACTGGTATTCATGATAATGTCATTGAGCAATGGACCATCACATTCATTTTGTTATTCTCATTTCATTATTTCTGTATAATAAATTCGTCCCTATTTTAAATTGTGTTTAGTGTTTCTCTCTGAGTGTGTAATATGAAATAACCAATTATGACTATTATATGCTATCAAATTGTAATCAATAAAGGGCCTTTATACAGGGTTGTGAATTTAATGCAGATTTTTGTGTAAAACTACATCAATTTAGCCTCAGTTTTGGGAACTCAGTCTGTTGAATAAAAGCATGTAGCTATAGTGCATTTAAAATAGTCAAATAGTAGTACATTACATGTATTTACTTCAATCTATGATAGCTCACAATTGTTGTCAGCTGTTGCTTAAAGTTAATGTAAACTTAAAAACTAAAATTGCGAAGTCCATGAAATTTCTTTTTTTTTTTTTTTTTTTTTTTTTTAATTTTTTTTTTTATTTTTTTTTTTTTTGTTTTTTTTTTTTTTTTTTTTTTTTTTTTTAAAGTTTTTTTGTTAATAGGTGCTTTTGATGTGCTTTCTTCTGTCTATAAATATAATGTGAGGTTTTACATCTTGAATATTTGTAAGGTGGAGATGTCAGAAAATTAGTAATACAGGGCTCATGATCAAGCAATGCAGGGTTTGGTTTGGTTTTCAGGTGAACAGGAGTGGGGTATGTTTTTATTTCCACTGGACTTGACAAAGGTGAAATATTTGGTCACTTTGAAAATCTTTTTAAACTCCAGAAACGATTTTAGCATAGGAACGCCAGATTCAGACATTGTCCCAGGGCACTGTTTCTTTGCACTGCACTTAGCTGTTTTGAAGCTGCATCACAGTGACATACATTACAAATAGTCAATACAGTAAGTTAAACTGTATGATGTCATATTTGTAATGTTTGTAATCATTAGTATTATTCTCATCATATAGAGAAGACTTATACTATACCCTAAGTTACACACATTCAATATTAACACTTAACTGGCACTGATAGTTGCCTTACCTCATTTTACCATTAGATTTTAGATGAACAGTAAGATGAAATTAAGAGGAAAAAAAATAATCTAATCACTTAAAGTAATAGTTAGCTCAATATTTCTACACCCAGGATTCTGTACTGTAGCCGAGCCCTTGCCAGGCCAGATCACTGGTTAAAGGCCATCCAAATATTACTTAAGAAAAAAAATTAAAATGCTAGCCCCTGTCCCATTGCACTCGTATTTTTTGGGCACATTTACCAACATGTTCTACTTCAACTTGTAGTTTTGTCTTAAGAAATATTAAGATGATGTGCTGCGTCGTTTTGCTTTCAAAAACAGTAATAAATTTGGGGGTGGGGTTGTCCATACAGTGGAGAAAGTAGCGAGTCACTATTGGTCATTGACGTTTGGTGTGTGTTCCTTCTTCTTATATTTAAGGTGCCCACGATCAATTTCTTGATCATTCTGGCTCCTGGTTTAAATTCAGAGTTTGCCTTCTCTTAGACGGGTTGCCGTCCAAGGCTAACGAGTCCCATCCACCCGGGTTGCTTGGGATGGCTTTGGTGGGGATTGAACTCGAGACCACCAGTTATTTCGTTTGAGACAGTTTAGACCGCTTGGCCACCCAGTTCCGAAGCGTCACTAAGGATGGTGCGGTAAACTCATGGTGTCACCCCCCTCTCTTTCTCTCTCCAGAATCATTGTTTTCTTTTTTATCTGGTTTTTTTCTATTTAGGGCTTAATTTACAAACAATACTTTAAGCGATAATGTCTGATCTGGTTAAGAATGATAACAGCAGGTCCGGGGACAAGATTCATTTAAAGGTCCCTTTCAACTCTGAAACCCTTTTTTCGCCAATAAAATACCATCAAAGGCCTAACCACCCCCCGTCTCTCCTCTTGCCCGCTTTCGCTGGTTTTGGCAGCACCATTTATATAATATATAAATATTATTATGCACCAATTCTGAAATAATAATTATGAGAGTCCATAAATAGCCGATTTTATTGTTTAATTTGGCAAACTGACATAAAAGTCTTAATTTCAGCCTATTAAAAATACCACCGCAGCATTGTGTAATTATTACCATCCTATTGCTTTTAGTTGTTACAACAACAAAAAACGCTTGATAGATATCGTAGCGATTTGTAACAGTAGGCTACTTGAGGCTATATTTAGCCTCGTGACAAGTCAAGTCCACCCTAGGGTCTATAGTTATAGCAAGTGTCTTAAAACAACGCCAACCTTGGGTAAACTTCCGCCCTGTTTCTAAGCACTCCTTTGGCGCCCCTTTCCCTGTATGGCTCCGCTTTTTTTCCGATTACGACGTAGGCTATGGAGCACGTGTTATGATGCTATACATGTAGCTAACCATGCGCATTTTAACATGCACCTTAATTTAGACCAGGCCTGCACAACATGCGGGCCACATGCGGCCCGGGAAGTAACGAAATATTCTTCATTCTTATTATTTTCTTAATTCCCCCTTGTCCTATTTTCTATTGGCCCGCACAAGTCCTGTCCTATTTTCTATTGGCCCGCACAAGTCCTGTCCTATTTTCTATTGGCCCGCACAAGTCCTGTCCTATTTTCTATTGGCCCGCACAAGTCTTTTCCTATTTATGCGGGTCACATGCGGCCCGGGAAGTAACGAAATATTCTTCATTCTTATTATTTTCTTAATTCCTCCTTGTCCTATTTTCTATTGGCCCGCACAAGTCCTGTCCTATTTTCTATTGGCCCGCACAAGTCCTGTCCTATTTTCTATTGGCCCGCACAAGTCCTGTCCTATTTTCTATTGGCCCGCACAAGTCCTGTCCTATTTTCTATTGGCCCGCACAAGTCCTTTCCTATTTTCTATTGGCCCGCACAAGTCCTGTCCTATTTTCTATTGGCCCGCACAAGTCCTGTCCTATTTTCTATTGGCCCGCACAAGTTTTTCATGGAGTATTACGGCCCGCCTTACATTTTGAGTTGAGTAGGCCTGATTTAGACTGTTCAGTTTTTCTACGGTACTTCACTATAATAAACTAATGGAATTTAAATATTTACTGGGTGCCCCTATGGCCACGGCGCCCTGGGCGAGGACACAGGTCGCACACCCTAACTTTTTAATCAGGGGGCCGGTTCACTATCCCACAGCAAATACTTGGGGGCCTAACTATATATATATATATATATATATATATATATATATATATATATATATATATATATATATATATA